GTACTGGAGGGGGAATCTGCAGTTGGTTGTTTATGTCACATATCATCTGAATCTTTATTAGTCTGAGACCCAACTGTGGTTGATGTGGCACAGTGATTCTGCTCCTATTTACAGAAATGGTTTCAGAGAAAAATAATGGGTGGTTATATTTCTGACATCTGAAGCTCTGTGGTGGATTGCTGCAAGGAATTCTGTCCCTGATGTGATTTAACAAATGTACGAAGGCTCTGGGAAGGGACGCCCATCAGGAATTTGAGGCTACTTGTCATCAGTATACTGATCACACTCAGCTCTACTTCTTCATAATATCTGCATCCAGAAAGTCTGTGCATCTTCTGAACAGTGCTGTGATAGGATAGATCTGGGTTAATAAACAAAGAATGAATCCTGACAAGGTGGAGATTTTGTAGGTGGGTGGATCCCAGGTGTGGGAATCTGGGGAGTTGTCTGGTCTGAAATGGGATGCTCTCCCTCTGAAATGTAATCAGGAAGTATTCCTTGAGTCATCAGCATCACCGATCACTCCCTCTGTGGGACGGCATATAAATTTAATAAATAAAAAATCACTGAAGACTCAAGTCTTTATAGTAGAAGTGTGTACTATCAGCTCCAGTAGTATACTAACTGCATTCTGACTTGGATAGGGAAGCCTAACAACAATGGTTAACAAAGTGGTAACCTCATGATTGGACTACTATAATGCATTCTTTGTGAAGTTGCCACTGTGCTTGGTCCAAAGCCTGTAACTGGTACAAAATACAGTGGTTGGATTACTGAGTGAGGCACTTCAATCTGCATGTTTTTGACATATAAGGGCCGAAACAATTTGAGAATGGATTATCTGATGAAACACCTTTACCTTTAAGACTTGGTCAAGTGTTATCATCACTGGGAACAGTCCTCCTGCAAACTACCTAAGTTATTTATCCAAATAGCAAAAGGTGCTACCATTAACATTAGAAGGTAACTTACAGCATTAACACAGCTCAAATGCAAAAGCTGTCATAACCTGAGCATCCTCTCTAAAGCTCAATTTTTAGAGATTGTTTGTAAGATAAATTTAATCTAGGACTTTGATCTCACCTTTACACTTTAAACTTCACAGTATTATATGATCTGCAAGTTTTCACATCCTGTAGTAAAGCAGTGAACATATGAAAGCTATGTTCCTTAAAGAAAACTATGAAGCCCTCTTTTTTTTTAAAAAAAAAAAAAAAGCTTTTTCTATTTTTTACCAATACACTAGATTGTGGTATCATAGCGAGGTTGCCTCTCAAAAAAGGCAAGAGTTTTTAAGAGAGAGAGACAGAGAGAGACTAATTCACATATGCGTATTTTCTTTAATTATTCATGGTACTGGTCCATATGCAAAACATTTAAGTATCAAGCCAAGTTGTACACAATTCAACTGATAACAGTTAGTAATCTATTTCTGGCCGGATATCCTTGCCATCAAAATCAGAGCTGGCAGCAGACTATATTCCACATAATCAATTCATACAGAGACAATGCTACACATTCATAAGAGGGATGACATGGAGAAAATAAACCTCTATGATTGCAAAGTGAATGACATTGAGAATAAACTCTTGTGCCAGGCAACTCACTGGAAGATGGCTCCCTGATGTTGAAAGACAGTAAGGAGCCAGAAAGGAGAGAATCATTTCACAACTACTCAGTATCAAAACTGGCTAGGCACAGACCACAAATCTCCAGATTACAATGATTAAAACAGAAAAGAGCACATCTACCGGTACTTATCTTTAGAAAAATGTAAATACAAGAGTGATAGGGAGGCATCTCCACTGCTCTAGCAAGCCCACAAGAAGGACTACAGTTATCCAAACAACTGTTCAGATTTCTAAAGGAAGGTGCATTTTGAGACAACACCTCTTCATAATACACTGTGTTGCACCTTGTTTGCATTAGGCCAATGCCAGTGGCATATAAGGTTTAGTCAGATTGTCCATTATGCATATTTCTAAGCATCCTCTCATCTTCATCACGTCAGCAGTGATTTTTGGAATCAGTGCCTTGACTACTAATCAACTGTCATATTTTTTCTAATTAGAGGGGTACAATTGTGTCTCAAAACTCTTTCTTTTCTTCTCATACACTACCTTTAAAAAAAGATGCTATAAGCATTAACTCAATAGCATTAGAAGTGTTGCTTTGTCTTCAGATAACTGGCAGGTTTACAGTTGGCTGGATATTTAAGACAGTTGAAACTGTACCTTGAAGTCATTGTTGTATCGTCCATAATTTACTCGACCCATATTTTCTACCAACAAATCCAGATTGGCTCCTGCATTCCCAGTTATGTTTAGCTTTAACAACTTGTTTCTTTCAAGAATCCCCTGAGGAATCTAGATGAGCAATAACAATATTTTAAAGTTAAACCCAAATCAAGGCACAGAACAAAAGCTATTTTAGTATCCACTGCAGTGTCTTTTTCAGAGGTATTTGCATGTACCTCATCCCCAACTGTGCTAATTTTAATTTGACTAACTCAAAATTATGAAAGTCATTTAAATAACTCAAAATCTTTCAGGTGTTTTTTTTCTTCTTAAATGAATTAACTACCAGTACTTCTGAAGAGGTTCAAATTTCCCCACCCTCTGTGGTCAGGAAGTTTAAATAACAGAAAAAGCAGATAAGCATGGTAGGTGTAAAAAGAAGCATTAAAACAACTATTTTCTTGGTGTTTGTTCTCTTTTTTAGAGTCAAAAATACACCTTCACTTCTCTGATTGATGACAGAAGCTAGCCTTAGTATATATCAAGTCCTAATACACTCTTTATTGCACCTAGTACATTCTACCATTCTTTGATAGAAAGGATGGACAATGTGTTGTTGGGATCACATTTAACATTTTTGGAAGCTAAAAGAACACATAGGTGGGACAGTGATGCAAAATGCACAGAGCTAATACATGAAGAGAGATTTTGGGGGGGTTCTTGGTTTTTTAAAATTCTGTTAACTCTACTGTAGCACTTGACTACACTTTTAGTTCCTGCCTCAAAATGATGAGAAACTGTACCACTATTTTTCAGCAACAATAGTTAGAGGAGGACCCAGGGGTTACAAAGAAGGAACTTGGGGGGAAAATTGTCTGTCCCACTCTTAAAGAATCCCAAAGCTTAATGTCTTCAACCAGGATTGGAAGATAATGAACAGTTGGCAAGTTCACATCCTCCTTCCTTTCTCCTTCCATTGATTATGTTTTTTATTCTCAGAGAAAAACATGGTGTAGCATCACATCCGCTTAGACAGTAGTGTTTATAGTCTCATTCAAACCAGTTTACAAACCTACTGCTAGCCAAAGTTACAGACCATGTAACTACAGCCAAGCTGTAGTCTAAATCAATCTACTACTTCCTTGCCTCTATCAATGCCAGCATCATGTTAAAGGACAGGAGAGAATCTGCTTCATCTATCTTTAATTAAGACAGACACGAGCCAGCACAGACAACACGTCTCAGGCTTAGGCATCATCTCAGAAACTATGCATTTCAGTGCATTCCTCCTAGTTTTTAGGAAGAGGTATAGAACAGATCATTCAGAGCGTAACAGACTATAATACTGATGAGCAAAGTAGTTAAGCTTACTGCCATTTATTCTATGACTACAGTATATTGTCTTGGCCATGTGACCTCAGGCTTTATTTCTCATAGGTGCCCTAAATCTGCAAAGAGGAGGAATATGTTGATTTCCTGACATCAGTATTTTGCAGTTATCTAAAGCAAGGATCCATAGTCATGAAAAGTAACCAGGAATTATTGTGGCAGTAGAATACCTAAGACCCACACATCTGAATTTATACTAATCCATAGTCCTGGCATGTTTCCAACAAGCTATTGTTCATAATTTCTACAGTGAGATTGCCCTGGGTTAAATGAAGGGACAGCCTCAGACTGAAACTCTATAAGTCTTGGGTTTTACATGATAGAGCAAAATGAAGTTATAGAATAGTGTTAACATTGCTAATATCAAACCATTAGAAAACTGAAATATGTACGAATAAATATAAAAATATAAGCAGACTTATCCATCAGTGTCCATATCAGGAAATGAACAGCCTTCACCAAGTTTCACAAAACTTTAAGATAATCTGACCTTACTTAGAGGACAATACTTATCTGGCATGCCTTTTGTGTAATTATTATTACATTACATACAGGGGACAGAATAATCCCTTGGGAAATCATAAATGAAGAGCTGTAATCGTAACAACAAGAAAGCAGGTAATTCTGAAATGGTCCTTTACCCCATCCACGGAGACGTAGGCCCGATCATGAATGGCATCAAGTGAAAAGAGAATTTCCTTACTACAGTTCCTTGATAGCTTCGTTCTGTATAATACGTATCCAAAGTACTTGAAGAGGAAAACAGAGAGAAACAAATATTGAAAAGGATTTTTTTCCAGCTAGCATTGTATTTTTACAATGTAGCTATATTTATTGATTTATTATATCAATTTATATAGCCATCCAACTCACAATTGCAACTGGGAAGCACACACAGGGTTCAAGCCAAACTTATATTTCAGACACTGTGTAGTAAAGTTATAATACACAGGTTTCAAGGATTCAGACTAACATCAAATATTTGCTATTTAATAGTCACCATTGGATACCTTCCGGTATTTAGCAGGGAATGGGGGGAGGAAGTTGGGACACAGAGCCGGCACCAGATTTGGATGCCTTGTATCTACACTGATAGTTCTCTTGTAAATATTCCAAACAAATGTGTTAGTTGGACAAGAGATGTTGTGGAGAATTTGGAAGATCATCATGCTGTACAAAAGAAATTTAATAACTAGCTTGCTTGAGATTAAGAGTTGGAAAGGCTTAGATTTATAGCTATTATCAGTCAGACTAGCGTATATGGAATAGTTAGGTTCAGCTTTTGCAAATATTTGTTAATTTGGATAGAGAGAAGATGGCATACAGTATAAGAAAGATGGCAGAAGAGGAAGAGAGTCAAATCAAGCATCCCTAAGTCTGGTACTGCAATCAACCAAAACTGGGTTGACAATAAGCACATCTGAGTAAAAATGGTGGAGTAAATTTGTTACCAGCCAGTAGGCCTAGGGCTGAGGAATGTTGTTGAAGGGAATATAGGATTAAATGGCCTACATACGCAAATAATTGAGTAGCTAAGGTTTTCAATGGCCCTCACACTCCAGTACAATGACCCTTAAATAAGCACTGTTCCTAACACAAACCTGTCACCTATTCCTTACAGATAAACAGATCACTACAGCAAACATTTCCTGCTTGCTTCTCTGGATTTTTCAGAGTCTAATCTTTAATCAGAGGCTCAGAAACAAGGCTCCTTAGCTCCTTTTCCTAACCCCATTATGGTCCTTTTCTCTTTGTTTTAAAAGGACACAAAACTTTTCCTCTACAGAATGGAAAGAAGTGTGGAGGATCTCCTTCTGCTACATGTTAAGATAAACATCCTTCCTCAGGAGGATCCTGCTTGAGACAGAGGAATGTATATTGGGTAAATCTGCAGTCTACTGGCTTAATCTTTATACAATTTCTGTACTGCCTTATTTGCCAGCTCCAGAGTTTTTCCCTCCATCTCTACATTCTCGGAAACTATTTCACTGATATGATTCTTATCTCACTAATAAGAACTGGGTTAAAAAGAGTGTTTTAAAAGGACTTTATTGTACTTAGAAGTAACTAGGAATTAATTCCACCAAACCCAAATTTATGAACTTGGGGAAACACCTAAAAAGTTTAAATGGGCTATTAGAGAAGCCATCATAGAACAGTGAGCTATTTAAATATCTAGAATATTTAATGAAACATTGTTTTAGAAGGCTCACACAAAAAATATTAAAATAGTAACAGCTAAGACCCACTGGGGGGATTATGAAATTTTACTGTCCAAAACGATGGAAATTAGTAGATCCAATGTTGAAACTGTTCTGTGAAAGAATGGCAAATACTGTCTGAAGCAAAAATTTGGGGGGTGGAATGCCCATTACATACAGTTTTTAAAAGTCACATACAAAAGTCACATGCAGTTTTGCAGAAAATTATTGGAACTCCTACTCATGTTCTACGACCTGAATTGGACTTTACCCTCAATTAAGGTTGTGTTGATAACATCCTGCTTAGCTTTTAGAAACATACAGTATTACAATTTTCTGGTTAGGTAATGTTTGGATTTGTTAATCCAACAAAGCAGCTGGAAATCTGCCTTAAATGAATGTTGGACAAATAGTCACTCTCAATTCCAACCATTCCTTTGGAATCCAAGAAGTGGTGAGACTTTATTTATAATTTGGACACTAGGAGGGATAAGAACCATATGATGATAACTAAGCTCCTACATTTGCAAGCAAAGTTGAAATTACACCATAAAAGAGCTAAACATTTAATAAGTATGGCCTTCTACAAAACTTGGCAAGCATTTACAGCTTTTAGTTAGCAAACTATGCCTTCAGCAGTGATTGAAGATGTATTTTGGCAAATTCCTTATATACCAAGATTCTGACGTTGTAGTCATTCTCAAACTAAGGATCTTCTGCATAAACTTTTATACGCTGGTAATGTTTATCACTCTGTTAAAAGTATACTGAAAAGAGGTAGCTCAGGTCAGTTCAATCTAAGAAAAAAAAATTTTTACAACCAATTTTAGTGAAGGTATGTCACAGAGTGTATTTTAGTGAAGGTGTGTCACAGAGTGTTAGCACAAATACATGCTTAAATCATGTGTAGGTGCAGGGCCGACATTGAATTAAGGTGTAGTTTAAAAGCTTGTAATTTTAATGGATATAATGGCCTATATCTGAGCACATATAATAAATTATTCTGTGCAAAATTGAGTGCAGTATTGTCATTTAAAGTATCGTATTTGTGTTTATGTACCTGAATATTTTAATACAAAATTTTATATAATAAATAGGGGACAGCTATAGAGGCAGAGGGCATGCTTCATATCTCTATTCACATAAACCTCCCATTTTTCTGATTCTATAAAAGTTGCCTAACACTCTCTAGAGTATCTCTAATTCTTTTCCTCTCTTCACCATCTTCTTGCTCCCACCTCTACTGCAAAGAAAGTCTAGATTAGAATTTTTACTTCCTCCACCTTCTAAGGTACCTGTATACAGTACTTAGATCTATTTCTCCATCTCCGTAGCCCATCTACTGAGCTCAAATCAAAATCACTGACTAATCTACAGAATCTTTTCATTCAACCACCATTTCTATTTATAGCACCTCCTCAACTATCACACTTATTCTTATGCCACCCACACTAGTCACCACTCCCTTTCTGATACACTTCACTTCTCAAGAATTCAGTATCAGAGTAAAAACTCAAGTTCTCCATTGACAGTGCAGAGTATGCAAATCGTACAGAACTTCCTAAAATGTGTATAAGTTTCTTCTAAAAAGTCTAACATAGAATGGAACAATGGGCTAACTTCCCCATTGATTTAAAAGGTCAATTATTTCATGAGTAAATAATTTGACATGGCATACATTATTTAATGAACTATGCCAAACCATGAGTTAAAAAGCTTGTCTAGGATCAACTTTTACCTGCTTTAGTTGAACAAATGTCAAAGGATATATGCTTTTAATTGGTCCAGAAGGTGAAAGATCATTCAGAAGTTCAGTCACCATGCCAACCTACAATGGAGCAGAAACAGAGTATAATCTGCATTAAAATAAATGCAGAAGAACAAAACAACCATTCTGAACAATGCTTACACAAATATTTATCAGAATTTGCTCTAAAAATATCTATTTAAGATATAATATAGTATATACAATAGGAAAAGGAAACACTTAGCCCTTCTGCATGTAGATGCTGCTTTCCATATACTCTTAAGCTGAGTTCTCACACAGGCATGTTGAAGGCTGCAATAATTCAAAATGCATCCCAGTTCCATGCTGGGGTAATGTGAAAACTCAGTGAGAAAATCTGATCATCATCACAGAGTTAGCTTAAATTTTATAATTAACTTTATTGCCACAATGTAAATGAACTACCTTATCTTGAAGATGTGATTCTTTCCAGGGACTAAATTCCCTGGTGTGCTAATTCTAATTAAACTTTTTTCAGGGTTCTTGTACAGTTTTCAACTGTATGTTGTAAAAGAAGAGCTCCATCACTTTCCCAAGCTTTAATGACAAAGATCCAAATTTCCATCTCCAAACTCAAAAGCACATCCCTACATGATAAAGCAAATGATTATTCTGCCTTTTATTTAAAATAGTTATTCATAATAGCTAAAATAGAATCACCCAACCTAAGACTATGCAAATCCAATGGCTACATTTACCTTGTATTACCTTACATTCATTTACCTTCATCAGTTTAACTTCTCCATAGGCAAACTTGGGAGTTGTTGGAGGTATAGGCCCCTTTGGTAAGTCCTTGTACTAAAATATGAAAAAAATAAAATACAGAAATACAGCCTTCGCATTTAGAGAATCAATTTTCTCATTCTTGTGTATATAGGCTTGTATGACCTTGGGTGAAGCTATATCCTTCCTCGGTCTGGAATTCTTGAGATTCATTGGGACTAAATCTACCCTCCTCACCACCAATTTCTAGCCATTCTGGCTAGCACTTGTGGCAACTGTAGTCTCACTACATCTTCAGAGAGTTACATTGGGAACATTTATACACAACGAGGAGACTGCCTTGAACTCCAAAATCTTCTTTGGTTTCTGCTATGAGCAGTTTAAATCTAGAATTAGACTAATTTAATAATTTGAGGAGCAACTTTGGAAATGTTTCCACACATACAGTACTGTGCAAAAGCTTTAGGTAGGTGTGAAAAAATTCTGTAAAGTAAGAATGCTTTCAAAAATATATGCTGTAATTGTTTATGTTGATCAATTTACAAAAGGCAAAGGGAGCGAACA